TACACCAAGGTCTGCAACTTCAACACCTGGATTCGCAACACCATGTCCTCCAACTAAATGCAAATAAAAAATAAAGTGAATTCATCTGTCATGAAACTGAAGCATTCTTTATTTTGACTTTAACAATTAAAATACTTTAACTTAAGTTTATGTGTTTGTTTTGTGCTCCTGGATAAATTATCAAAAGTGAAAATTAAGGATCAGGTAAACGTGAAATACAAATTATTCCCTCTGAAAATTACAGTATTTTTAAATTTGTGGCTGTGTTTTAAACCTCAGTGTTAACATACAGTATATATCAGAGTAACAAATGCATCCATCCGTTATTTTTAACGATTTTTCCTTTACGGGTCACAGGGGTCACTGGTGCCCATATCTAGCAGTCAGTGTGCGAGAGGCGGGGAACACCCTGGACAGGTCTCCAGTCCACCACAGGGACATATGGAGACAAACAAGACAAACAACCATTCACTCTCACTCGCATTACAACTTAGAGTTACCACTCTAACATGCTTTTTTTTTTTTGTCTATGGGAGGACTTTCTCGCTGTGAGGCAGCAGTTCTACCAACTGAGCCAATATGCTGCAATCGTATAAAACATAAATCTGTGATAAAAACAAACAACACTTTAACCTGTTTAGTATAAGAGTTTTACATTAGAAATCAGAGGCAGAAAATTTAACTTTTGATGGAAGATGAGAGATTTGGATGTTTTTGTTTTTCCTCCAAATGACTGACAACCCAGGGTCCAGTCCAGGAAGCAGAGTTGTAGTCCTCCACACCTCTCTGATGCCTCTCCTCTGTTACCCACCCAAACCAACATTGAAACAGTGTCAACTCGCCCACAGCTCAAATTAAATAAACCAAAAATCAGCTCTAAAAATATAAATCATAAAAATCTGATTAAAAATAAACACAGCTATTTTACCAAAACGAATTAATAAAATCATTAAATGTGGATTAATGAACATCAGATCTCTTTCCTCAAAGTCTCTGTTAGTTAATGATCTGATAACTGATCATCATCATACTGATTCATTCTGTCTGACAGAAACCAGGCTACAACAGGTGGTTGTTAGTATAAATGAATCCACTCCTGTTAAATATTTGTTCTTAAAATATCTGCAATTGAGGCATTTTGTGGGGTCTAACTCTGACTGTTTTCCTTTGTACCCCTCTAAACATTTTGTGGATACGATTTTGGAGTTCAGGACTGACACTAAGAGGGCCCTCGACAAGATTTATACACTGCTCACTTCATACCATGAGACCAGCTTGGACTCCCTTAAACTGAAATGGGAAATGGACTTAAGGAATTCATATCAGACTCAGTCTGGCGAAAGATCATTCAGAACATTTATTCATTCTCAGTCTGTCTGAGACATGCTGTAATTCAGTTCAAGGTGGTGCACTGTCTGCAGTGGTCCAGTAACAAACTGTCCAATAATAAAACTGATGTGGATCCTGCATGAAACCACTGTAAACAAACTGCAGCTATGCTTAATTACACACATTCTGGACTTCTCCAAAGCTGCGAGGCTATTGGCAATCTATTTTTGATACTTTCTCTGGGATATGTGGAAAAACTGCATCGGTCACCATTCATTTCATTGTTAGGGGTGGTCCCTGTGGATACATCCTTCAGCAAGTGTGAGAGAAATTTGATTGCTTTTGGCTCTCTTCTAGGCAGGAGACTTATTTTATGCAGATAGAAGGATCCACATCCCCCAGGCATATGAACACTGGATAAGAGAAGTTATGTGCTATATTCATTTGGAAAAGATTAAATATATTCTGAAAAGATCTGTTGAAAGATTTTGGGACACTCGGCAGCCATTTATGTCTAATATTGAATGTATGTCAGTGCCTGTTTGATATATTCATGTCTGTATAGCTGATGTGTAGGGTTGGAGAGGATCGTGTTGTATGTTTAGTTTTTCTTCTTTGTGTGTGTTTTGAAAAAAAATATAAATAAAAAGGCTTTGATTAAAAAGAAAAAAAAGCTACTTTTAATAGTTGTTATATATATTTCACCAGGCCCTTATTCTGAATTTTTGTCTGAATTCTCAGATTTGTTGTCTGACTTATTGTTGAATACTGATAAAGTCATAATAATGTGGGATTTCAATATTCATGTAGATGTTGAAAATTATAGCTTAAACATAGCTTTTAATAATTTAATAGAGCCAATTGGTTTTACCCAAAATATCCACACAGCTACTCATTCTCATCATCACAATCTTGATATGGTTCTGACTTATGGAATAGAGATTAAGTACTTAATACATCCTCAAAAATCCTGTTCTGTCTGATCATTTATTAACAACCTTTGAATTTACATTAACTGACTACACAGCCACCAAGAGTAAATTTCATTATGGTAGACGTTTAGCAGAGAACCATCCATCCATCCATTGTCTTTACCCGCTTATTCCATTTTGGGTCACGGGGGTCGCTGGTGCCCATGTCCAGCAATCACTGTGCGAGGGGCGGGGTACACCCTGGACAGGTCGCAAGTCCATCACAGGGCCACATAGAGACAAACGAGACAAACAACCATTCACACCTAGGGACAATTTAGAGTTACCAATCAGCCTAACATGCATGTTTTTGGTCTGTGGGAGGAAACGGGAGGACCCGGAGAAAACCCACACATACACGGAGAGAACATGCAAACTCCACCCAGAAAGGCCCCTGGACTGGGGTTTGAACCAAGGACCTGCTCGCTGAGAGGCAGCAGCTCTACCAGTTGCGCCACCGTGCTGCCTAGC